ACCTTTGTTGAGTATCTCTGCTTTGCTGGCTGCTAAATGGACGTTGGCATCAGTCATGATACAGAGCTCACCGCTCACATAGTCATGAATGCTTTCCCATGCACAAGTCAATGATGCCGGCTTGCTTATGTTTGTCGAAGCATGTAAAGTCCGCCAGTCCATCCAAGTTTTATAGTGACAAGAGGCTGCGAAGCGTTGCAGACATGCCATGAACGATGCCATGTCCATCCCTTAATTGGTCTTGGAGCCGATGCCAAATGTATATATTAATATATATATATATATATATATGTGGCAGGGACCTTTCTAACACATTTGCCGGGTATGATCCTGCGCATATTCTACATTATTATATAAGGTACTGAATACATTTTCTATACACATATATTATGATTATCCAAAAAATACATATCTTTTCAAACTATGCCAATCCTTACTACGCCCATATTCCAGAACATATAATAAGTTTTAAAATAATCTAATAATTATTTAATGAATGAATATTATGTATTAAACTAGAACTTAATTAAGAAATGCTGCTACGATAAATGCCGTTTACAAATGATGTTTAAGGTCACTGAATTATACGTATGCTTCATTCTTACATTCTTGGTATTGTTTATAGTTTCATCATAGTTGTATATTCATTCATACATTATTATTATACTCATATCATCACCTATTCGATATTTATACTTAACGTATTACATTTAGAACCTGAAATAGATATCATTTCGTTCATAGCACTATTCATAACATCTCGGTTTTATATTGTGTGTAAGATTCTAAAACTCAACCTATAACTGTTTCTAAATGTTAAAAACATCAAGCTTCTTAAAACTACAACAAAAACCATTAAGTCAGAAACACTAGTACATTGCATAATGAAATATTCTTGTACAGCTTTTCAAGAACTGCCACTGCTACTACTACTACTGCTACGATGACTACTATTACTACAACTACAAGTACAACTACTACTACTACTACTACTACTACTACTACTACTACTACTACTATTGTTATAACTAACATTATTACTATTACTAATAGAATTGCTTTACAATTATTAATGAATAACGTCATCGTATATATTCTAAAAAACAATTTCTGCGCTTATTTAATCATATTTTTCATTATTATAATCTCTACTTTCTACTACTTAATGTGCGTTCTATCATTACTACTACTAATTCTATTGTTTGTTATTTCAATGTACTTCATGGTCGTCTTTTCCTACTGCTTTTTATTCATCATTTTGTTTGTTGTTCTTCTTGCGTTTCTTTTCACACAGCCTTTTCTTCCTTATCTTATCTTCCTTTTCAATCCAAATTAACTCCTATTACCAATACTATGTGTAATATGATTATTCTTGTTAAATTCATACCACTCATCACCATCCATACAACTAGTATTAGTATTTGTTGTGTGCGTATATCACTACACTTTTTGCACCTTCAATTTCTCATTTATTCTATATACTTATTTTTCAACATATTCAATTTATTAGTTTATGTAAAATATCAATATTTTATTATGCTCAAAAACGTTAAAATCAACTAACAATAACATTCATATCAACTATGCCAACCCTTTCAATTTGCATTATGTATTTCAATTAATCCCACTACTTTACATTTACATTCAACAGAACATTAATGTTTATATTTTGTTAAGTTAACTATACTTCGAACTTTCTTCGATTATTTTCTATCTTTTGAGCAATTCTTACAGTTCTTTCATTTATTTACTACTACTACTACTACTACTATTGTTATAACTAACATTATTACTATTACTAATAGAATTGCTTTACAATTATTAATGAATAACGTCATATTATATATTCTAATATACAATTTCTGCGAGTGTTTAATTATATTTTCATTATTATAATCTCTACTTTCTACTACTTAATTGGCGTTCTATCATTACTACTACTAATTCTATTGTTTGTCATTTCAATTTAATTCATGGTCGTCTTTTCCTACTGCTTTTTATTCATCATTTTGTTTGTTGTTCTTCTTGCGCTTCTTTTCACACAGCCTTTTCTTCCTTATCTTATCTTCCTTTTCAATCCAAATTAACTCCTATTACCAATACTATGTGTAATATGATTATTCTTGTTAAATTCATACCACTCATCACCATCCATACAACTAGTATTAGTATTTGTTATGTGCGTATACCTATATACTTATTTTTCAACATATTCAATTTATTACTTTATGTAAAATATCAATATTTTATTATGCTCAAAAACGTTAAAATCAACTAACAATAACATTCATATCAACTATGCCAACCCTTTCAATTTGCATTATGTATTTCAATTAATCCCAATACTTTACATTTACATTCAACAGGACATTAATGTTTATATTTTTCTTAAGTTAACTATACTTTATACTTTCTTCTAGTATTTTCTATTTTTTGAGCAATTCTTACAGTTCTTTCATTTATATACTACTACTACTACTACTACTAGTACTACCACCACTACTACTACTACCACCACTACTACTACTTCTAGAACTTCTATGAATACTATTATCATTATCGCTACCACCACTAGTACTACCACTACCACCACTGTTACCGTTAATCTTACTACTATTACCTTAAAAACTAAGAATACCGTCTTCATGTAAACTCTTGTATCATTCTTAACTTAACTATACATGACTATAGTCATGAAATTATAAATTACGACTTCATTTTTAAATTATGTCCATCAGCTACAATGTCCTTTTTTACTGCTACTATTAAGACTGTTACTGCTACTACTAATACTAATACTACTACTACTACTCCTACTACTACTACTACTACTACTCCTACTACTACTACTACTATTACCACTACTACGACTACGACTACTACTACTACTACTACTACTACTAAACTTAGTATTACTATAACTAAAACAACAACTGCTACTATTATGAATATCGCAGTTTTTGCTAATTAATTACGTAACTCCAACAATCAATTTGTTTGTTCGTTGATTCAGTCAATCAATCAATCAATCAATCAATCAATCAATCAATCAAATCAATCAATCAATCAATCAATCAAACAAGCAAGCAATCAATCAATCACATCAATCAATCGACCAATCAATCAATCAATCAATCAATCAATCAATCAATCGATCAATCATGCAACCAATCAATCAATCAATCAATCAATCAATCAATCAATCAATCAATCAATCAATCAATCAATCAATCAATCAATCATGCAACCAATCAATCAGTCAATCAATCAAGCAATCAATCAACCAAATCAATCAATCAAATCAATCAATCAATCAATCAAATCAGTCAATTTTTCCGATCAATCAATCAATCAATCAATCAACCAATCAATCAGTCAATCAATCAGTCAGTTCAATTCATTCCTTCATTCCTTCCTTCCTTCCTTCCATTCATGAATTCGTTCATTCATTTCATTCATTCATGGTCATTCATTCCATTTCATTTCATTTCATTTCATTTTCATTCACTCATTCATTCATTCATTCATTTCATTTCATTTCATTTCATTTCATTTCATTTCATTCATTCATTTCATTGTTTCATTCATTCATTCATTCATTCATTCATTCATTGATTGATTCATTCATTCATTCATTCATTCATTCATTCATTCATTCATCCAGCAATCCAATCATGAGCTGACACAAACCAAAACGAGGCATGAGATGAGGCCTTGCAAGGAGGGGCGGATGGCTGGGTGGAGCAACCTGGTCTTGCGGCCCTCCCGCCAACGCTGGCAACCCTCCGGTAGCGGCATTGGGCCGACTCCGATTGGAGGTCAACGCGATGGCACCCGTCGTCCTACTCCCGCCAACACTGGCGCTGGCAACCCTCTAGCGGCATTGGGCTGACTCCGGTTGGAGTTCAACACGACGGCACCCTTTGTCCTACTCCCGCCAACGCTGGCGCTGGCAACCCTCTGCTAGCGGCATTGGGCTGACTCCGGTTGGAGTTCAACACGACGGCGCCCTTCGTCCTGAGGCGGTGGGCTAAAAGAGCGATCACCCTCCCGCCAACGCTGGCAACCCTCCGCTAGCGCCATTGGGCCGACTCCGATTGGAGTTCAACGCGACGGCACCCGTCGTCCTACTCCCGCCAACACTGGCGCTGGCAACCCTCCAGCGGCATTGGGCTGACTCCGGTTGGAGTTCAACACGGCGGCACCCTTTGTTCTACTCCCACCAACGCTGGCGCTGGCAACCCTCTGCTAGCGGCATTGGGCTGACTCCGGTTGGAGTTCAACACGACGGCACTTCGTCCTGAGGCGGTGGGCTAAAAGAGCGATCACCCTCCCGCCAACGCTGGCAACCCTCCGCTAGCGGCGTTGGGCTGACTTCAACACAAACGGCACCCTTTTTCCTGAGGTGGCAAGCTAAGACAGCGATGTACCTTAGTCAGGCCCGCCGCTCGCGCCAGGATTGCCCAAGGCGAGCTGCAGAGCTGCCCTACTCGCTCTGGATTACTCGACACGGCAATTACCGGTTGACGTGATTTGCCAGCGGCTTCGGGTGCGACGAATAAAAATTAAGAACAAGAAGATGCGACGCAAGCAAGTACGCATGGATGGCTAGGATTAAGAGCAAAGGGGGGTGGGGAATCTTGAGCGACGTTGCGGCGTTGGCGCGCCATGTTTGGCTGTAAGTAGATTCTGTTTGATTGGCCTCCAGACTCGAGAAACAGCGCTGCTCATGTCTTCTTTTGGCGCGAGGGCTATGTATGTCTAGCCAAGAAGGTGAAACACGGCCATATGGGCTGCATGCTCATGCTCTTCCCCTGCACCATTCGGCGCAAAATGTTGGCCAAAAGACCTTGTAACAAGCCCCAGCCTTCCGAATGGTCCTGAATAGAAACCTAATGTTCATACCATGGTCAGTTGCGACAAAGTCTGTCGAGACTGTGGAAAGCCAAAGTGAACGCAATGTTGAAGGCGGAAGCCTGATATGTAAGCCCGGGAGCAAC